TGTTGTTTCTACCCATCTCACTAATGGAATTCAACCTCCTGAATGGGAGGATGAGAACATGAGATTGCAGCCCAAGATGGTACCTAACAAGAGGGAAGTTATTACCTCAAATGGTGTCGGTGCCCAGGACTCCTCAAACTCATTGTTCAGCAATCAGGATCCTTGGAGTTTGCGACACGATACTCAATTGCCTCCTAGGCCGACCAAAATACAATTGAGAAAAGAACCATTTACAGAAATGCAAATGGATGGTGGAGGACAACAGCCAATGGGTAATTTGAACAGGGATCTTAGTTCAGAGGATGCCCCGTCTTCCAAAGGTTGGTTAGTGATGATTTTCTTTTACTTTCTGGATAAGTTAATTGCTTATTTCATACGAGTTTTTCTTATTTTTTTGCTTCTTTGTCGTAGGATCAGCAGAAGAACAAATAAAGCAAGAACTTCAAGCTGTTGCTGAGGGAGTAGCTGCCTGTGTTTTTCAGTCATTTACGCCATCAGATTCTTACTTGCTTGATAAAAATGAGTCTGCTTATGAATCCAATCGAGATGAAGAGGTTCAAAACAATGCTGCAGGGATGCAAAACAGATCGGAAAGTGAGGTATTTAAGAATTCATATGTGTTGCATGTGAGAATATTTCATTATTTGTGTGTTCTCCCCTCTTTCGAAAAATATTTTAGGCTCTCCTATTGTTCATCATCTTACTTTTTCTATTTTAGGATGTCAAATTCAACTTTGCAGATAAGCCAAATCTTGGTTTTCCAGTAGCAGATGGCCTAGGCAGGTTGCAGGTGAAAGATTGGTTTCCATTAATAGGTATTGTGATATTTCCCTGTATCATTGACTGATTAATTTTTCTTTTGGCAGATTATAAAGAACAGTGACCTTGAAGAGCTGAGAGAATTAGGTTCTGGAACTTTCGGTACTGTTTATCATGGAAAATGGAGGGGCACTGATGTTGCAATCAAAAGAATCAATGATAGGTGTTTTGCTGGAAAGCCTTCAGAACAGGAGCGCACGGTTTGCCTTTTCATTGCACTAGTTTTAAAACTTTTAGCTTTTATTTATTTATTTATTTATACCTCATTTACTTAATCTGTATTTGGTGGTTTATGTTTTCAAACAGAGAGAGGATTTCTGGAATGAGGCCATCAAGCTTGCTGACTTGCACCACCCCAATGTGGTAGCTTTCTATGGCATTGTGCTTGACGGACCGGGAGGTTCTGTGGCAACAGTGACAGAATACATGGTTAACGGTTCTTTGAGAAATGCTTTGCAGAAAAATGAGAAGTAATGTATTTGTTTGGCCTTTGTTCTTTGTTTGTAATTTTCAATTGGGATAAAACTCTGACATAAATTTAAATTTATCAGGAGTCTGGACAAGCGCAAGCGCCTCATGATTGCCATGGATGTGGCATTCGGAATGGAGTACCTGCATGAAAAGAAGATAGTACACTTTGATTTGAAAAGTGACAACTTACTTGTCAATCTTCGAGATCCACACCGCCCAATATGCAAGGTAGTGCCCTTATTGTGCCCCTTGCATCATATTCTGGTCCATGTTGTGGTAGCTGTGATCCTTCGTTTCTTATAATAAGCCACAAACTTGTTTAAAATGCGGCATTGTTTTCAAAAACACACATTTTTCATTGACATGCTTTATAAGATGCTTCTGATGTAACAGCTGTAATTCGTTTATGTGTTTAGAATATTGTGCTCACAGGTTTCTCTCTGATGCCAGGTCGGTGATTTGGGTCTATCTAAGGTGAAATGTCATACTCTGATCTCCGGTGGTGTGCGGGGAACACTTCCATGGATGGCACCAGAGCTGTTGAACGGTAGCAGTAGCCTTGTTTCTGAGAAGGTTTGTGTTTCTTATCTAATTTATTCTAAATCGTCACAAATGATTGCCGCTCACTCTTAGCCCTGTTTTTATTGCTTTGCTATTTACTCCCTCTTTTGTTGCATACATTAGGTCGATGTATTTTCTTTCGGTATCGTGATGTGGGAGCTGCTGACTGGAGACGAACCATATGCGGATTTGCACTATGGTGCTATCATAGGTATCTTCTACTGCTTAATACAACTTGTCACTTCTTAAACATGATTGGCTCATCGAGATTTTACTCAGATTTGGGATGCTGATATCCTATTGCTCATATGTTAATGCAGGTGGTATTGTGAGCAACACATTGCGGCCACCAGTACCGGACTTTTGCGATCCTGAATGGAAATCACTGATGGAGACATGCTGGTCAGCTGAGCCATCTGAGAGATTGAGTTTCACCGAAATTGCAAATGAGTTACGTGGTATGGCGGCAAAAATTCCTCCTAAAGGACAGACCCAACCGCAGCAACCCTCGCCAACATAGCCTGAGGTTCGAAAATGATCTTAGCAAGTTGTTTCATCATCGGTGCCTCTTCCACACCGTTACCCTTGTGTTTCGGTCCCTTGGAAGATAACTTAATGTTTGCCTTGTTTTAATGTGATAGGGAAGTTGTTTTATTGTTTATAGAAAGTTTTAGGTCTTATAAAAGTTATACCTCATATAGGGTTTGCCTTTCAATCAACTTGGGTGTTTTCTGTCACTTTTAGACATGTCAATACAAGCATTGCTCATTGGATTGTATGCATTTTTTGTGTTGTTTTCTATCACGTTTTGACGTATTCTACTTTCCCCTAGTCGATTCGGGTTAAAGCGAAACAAGCAGTTTGATTGGCCCGAGTCGTTATCGAAACAAGGATTAAGCCTTGTTAAATTCTTGAGGAAAATGTAATCTATCCAAGTAACATGAGTGTTGTGAGGTTATTTGGCAATTTGCAGTGGCTAAAAAATGAGATCCACAAAGTACAATTGTCTAATGAAGATTTACCTCATAATTGGACATGATCGTTAATCAACCAAATGTTTGAACAGAGAGCATTTACTCAATAACGACTTCTAAAATCTTGTTATGCCAATTTTTTTTTCTCGCCAAAGCTTAATAGACTCGTTTCGGTTACTAAATTAAAGGAGAAACTTACCTACAACGGGGATGTCACTGTGCCAATATTTTAAGTTAAACATACCACTTAGGCAGTTGGGTCCACTCCCTTGTATTCTGATCCTACTCTCCCACTATTGGTCCCGACTAGGGATGGGCAATGGTTATGGCGGGCGCGTAATCGCCGTTATTTATCCATAACCGTTTATACTTATACCTGCATAACCATTTACCCGTTGGGTAATTGACTAAACGGTTATACCCATACCCATAACCGTTTATAAACGGTTAATTATACCCATAACTGCATACCCATTTAACCGTAACCGTATACCTGTTTATCCATACCTGTTTATCCCGTTTATCCATTTTTTAAACCCATTTACCCTTTTTTGCGCCTATTTACATTTTTTTTAACCGTAACTGTATACAACTCCAATAATTGAAATAATAAAGACGAATGATAGGTTTAATCAATCAAGGTAATATAATATATTTGCTAATAATTCATTTTTTACTAACAAAATACCTCTCATTACTTGAGCAAGCATATTGGAAAGAAAATTCAAGTATTTTTGACATATTTTTCTTCTATACCCAAGCAAGTATTCAATTATAACATCCATATGATTACAAAGTAAAACTTCTGAAAACTCAAGGTAGTCATTATCTTGAATACTAGATGATTCAAAGCTCCAAAATATTTCAAAACTAAATACTTTCGAACACTAATGCTTTAAGCACATTCAATCACAAAGTCTCATCGACTCGTCACCAAAAGAGGCCTACAAAAGAAATGTATAAATTGAATTAGTATCCCAAAAGAAATGTTTTTAACCAGAGGTGTTGGCATATAGGAGGAAATATGTATGAAGGATAAAAAAGGACAACTAGAAGAGTACGCATTAAGGTATAACTAGTGAATGTGACCTCAGATTATACATCGTATTCGTACCATAGGTCCACAACCAGTTCCCATGGCAGCAATTTAAAAGTGAATTAAACATACCAGTCAGATTCATCACCGAGCTATTTTGATGCACATCACCATTATAGCCCAAAATGTCAAATCTATAGTAAGATGACAAGCCTCTGATAGCAGAGAGGAGAGAGATGAGCAGCGGAGATGAGAGGGAGCAACGAGGAGAGAGAGACAAGCGGCAGACGAAGTCTAGTCCTGGCCTCCTAGAGGAGAGAACGAACAGGTTATAGTCTTACAAATTAGGTATTTTGTTTTTTTAATTTTATATATCTATTAAAATAAACGGGTAAATGGGTAACCGTTATAACAGCGGTTAATACTCATAACCGTCCATTTAAATTTTACGGGTAAACGGTTATACTCATAATCATTTAATTATCTACACGGTTACCCATAACCGTAACCACGAAATTTAAATGAGCGGATAACTACGGTTACCCATAACCGATGGGTATTTGCCCATCCCTAATCCCGATTGATGAGTCTTTGGCCGGCCAGCCACATAGTCCCAACCAAAGAACTCCTCCAATCACATATTATCGTATTATGTGGATTAATTTGTTCACATGACATATAGTGTCTGATTGATACAAGTTTCTTTGTAAATATTCTTTTCTTCTTATCAGGATATTCCCTACATTGTCTTACGCCATGACATATAAAATCAATAAAACAATGTCATGTGAACAAATTAAAACGTCATATTATCGCATCATTGATCCAAAATACCACGGTGGCATTCCGCATGTTAGGCACGTCCGCGTTTCTTAGGGCGTGTGGGTTGTGGGGGATGTTTACGGCACCGCGTTAGCGCGAATCAACTGAGCCGCCTAAAAACAAAACACGAAAGGGAAATGGAGTCAGTCATAAGGTTTAAGACTTTCATTCGGAATTCCTTGTTTTGTTTTATTTCGGATTCCGTGTATTATGATTAGGATTTTTTCCACAAATCCACACCGCCGTATCAATCTTTCCTGGAAAATCCATAAATCCTAAATATTGAGCTACTCTTTGCATATATATACACACACACACACGCACGCATATATGTGTGTATATTATATTTCTTGTGTCCTTTTTCTTCTCTCTCGTTATATCCCTTTCCCTTCCCTTCCCCTATATATTTAACACCCTTCCACTCCAAGTCTCGCCACAGATTCTCTCTCTAGACCAACCGTGATTATGTCAAACCACGGTTCACCTCGCTACGAACACGAAACAGATATGGATGTTTCTTCTTCTTGTTGCGGATTTCGTGGTTGTTTTAGGTTCTTCGGAAGCGCATATAGGAAAAGCGACGACAATGTTTACGAACACTTGGTGCTGCAAGAAGGCATAGGAAGAAACAAGGAGACGACATGGTGGAGGAAGAAGCTGAACGAGGCTAAGGAGTACACGGAGGTACTCGGCGGTCCCAAGTGGAAGAACTTCATCAGAAAGATTGGTGGATACTGCGAGAGGCAAAAGAATAGGTTATGTCGAAAAGAGAAGAATACAGCGTTTCCGTACGATATTCATAGTTATGCCCTCAATTTCGACGAAGGTGTGGGCAGAGAAGGAGCCGATGCTGTTCTTGGCTTCACAGCAAGGTTTGCAGCTCCTTTGTCCAACGAACATGGTTCCATGGGCGGACCCGTTCATGGAACCGATGAATCAGCTTTCGTCAAATCCAGAGGTTAGATTCGGCCTCGTCTGTGCTGTCATGTTTCCTATTTCGATGAGGTTTTATTGCGCTGTTCGATACAGAACAATCTGTATGCTGTTCTCAGTGTATTTTTTGCCTTAAAATTTCAGATTCACATTAACGTACATATCACTGCTATAGACAACTTTCTTAATAGCCATATATATTCATAGAAATATATATATTGAAAGCAAGCGTTTAACGTAGATATGCAATTAATATACAAAAAATCTACCTAGATCCACCGAAAATTGGTACATTAAGACTACCTGGTTCGAGTTTTTCGTGTTACATGCTTAGAGTTTGATGATGGTATTATAAGACACGGATAGTGTCGGGGTGCCTCAGATTTGAAATGATCGATCCAAAGATGTAAGTATATCATTTGAAGGCTTGAAGCTTTTACTGTACGAGAAATATTAAGTTCCTTGCTCTCTGTTGCTGAATTTTCGACTAAGAGTTACATTTACTTCAATCGTTGGTTGTTCATGTCACCTGCATTACTTTTTTTCCAAATTACAGATTGAGACTAGTTTATTTTTCAGTTTATAAAAGCCAATCAATGCGAACAAAACGACCATATATATGTTAATCGTAATCCTACCTCTTGCGTTTGCTCTTAAGAACGGAAGTCGATGAAATGTTGCTGTGCCAATTCCTTTTTCTTTGATTAATAAACCAGTTATTAATCTGTTTCAATTGCAAGCCTGTTTCCTGCACCAATCTGGCTTTGTCTTCCTCCTATCGAAAATGAAAGAGCGTCTTAGTTAGTAGCTATTACAAAAGAATCTGCTAAACTGAAAGCTGTGAGGGGATTATAACAAAGTTCAAACTCACTGTTGGGTAAGGCCACTTGGAATGTGATTGCCACCAAGATTTTAAAACAGAAGTTGTGTCGCCTGGCAGTTTCCCCGCTCTTCTCTTGCGCAGAATTTCCTCTCTAATGTCGACAATCTTTTCCTTGTAACCCTGATAAGCAGAGGTTATCAGCTACACTTGTAGTCCACATCGAAAATGTATATATATACTCTGTAAGTCTATAGTTCATACCTGTTTCAGTTCATGCTTCAGTTCCTGCCTTACACGCTCCATCAAGGACCTCTCACTTTCAGTCGGAACAAGAGGGCCAAATCCCATGGTGTCAGGCCCGTCCAGACTTCCATCATAGGAGTTGATGTCACTATCCACCTGGTCATCATCATCGGACATGGTAGCACCCGTTCCTTCACCCGTGGACACACCTGTGAAAGCAGCTTAAAATGTTTAACTGAAAACTATCCATAAACAAGTATGGATCCGATCAGCAACCAAAAAAGAGCAATAAAAACTGACGACACTACACATATGATGTTTTATCCTATATCTGAATTTATATAGGACGCCAACCCAACCCAACGTGACGACACTAATCAAAGCTAAAAGACTCAACGAAAATAAAAAGTTCGGGTCAGTGCAATTGCCGCCCACATCTTTCCTCTTCAAACCGATAGTCTTTAATAGTGCCAGGCTATGAACATGAACCTCAAACTCAAAACATAAGGAACGATGACAATGGTTTCGCTTTTGCAGATAACAAACACCTGAAGTTAAACAAAGTTTTTTCGGGGGGAGGGGCAATAAAAGTTCCAAACAACTATTAGGCAGCTTTATACAAAAGAAGCGCACATTGAGGTCACACCAAGAACAGTTCAGCACATGGGAAGTAACACTGATGTTCTTGTCCTTTTTCCCTGTTTCCTAGTTTTCGTACAAAGTAAGCGAAATGGGGAGGAAGGGATCAAGATTTATGGAGCAATCGAAACTAAGGAAACAAAAATTACCGGTTAAGCTTTGCAGAGACTGATCCAGCTCCCAACACGCCATCACTGCTTCCATTGCGTGGACTCGGACATGTTGCTGCAGTTGTTCTTTGAAGGAACAAAGCAATAGAACATAATTCGTCTACAAAATCACAACGACATTGTAATCAAAAGTATTTGTTGTTACAAAATTATAATGTGACTTTTTAAAAGTAGATAAATTTATTTACAGAAGAAAGAGAACGCCAAATATATATATATATATATATATTTTTTTAGTACATCGATATTTTTAACGGATTAGGCAAGCAAGACCACGCACCAAGACTTGATTGTCGGATACCTAACCCTTAAACAAGACTCAATATTTAGTAGAAATTATAAAGAAATTGGAGAGATCCATCTGCAGAACAAATTCTAATTCCAAGACATGCCACTAATCAAAACTACTAATTAAAGGGTTAAGATTCTCCAAAGCACTTGTAAAGTAGAATAGTTAGAGAATTAAACAACAGGATTCCTCACTACCACCTCGCTCTAAAAATAAAATATCCAGAAATTAAAAATGTTTAGACTTTCAATCACTTGAAATTGGAAAATAATTAAGATTTAATTAGTGCTAACCATGAACAAATCAAGGTCTTTCTCATCCATGACTCCAACATCCCCATTGGCTCCCGAGTACTTGTCGACCACGCGCTGAGACTGCACGAGCTGCTCGTCGATCCTCGGCAGCTGATCGACCGGCGTCGCGATCCTCAAGCACGACACGTGCGCCGACACAAGCTGCTCGTACAGAGGATGTTCCACGATGTCGGCCTTGAACCTCGCGCTCTCGCACTCCAGCTCGTCTTCCCCCTCCTCTTCTCCGCCGTCGTAGCCACTTATCTCCCTCCGGTTCCGATCGCTGCGGTTGCTGCTCTTCCCAGACGGCGCCATAACCAAGTCGTCGTTTCGCCCCGCGTCATGGAGGCCGCCGAAGCTGGTGTTCTGCTGGCGGAAAGCGGCGTTGTTGAGCCACGTCGGAGCTCCGGACAGCGTCGGCTGATCCGCCGCGAAGGAGTGGAACGCCATTTCGTGCGGGGTCTGCTGCTGGTGGTGATGAAACGCCATTTTTGCAAGTTGAATTGTGAGAAAAGAGAGAGAAAAGCTTAAAGCTTTTGGCTTTTCAGTGCATACATAGGAAAAGCGCGGTTTGGAAAAAGCCAGAAGCGCCTTTTGAGTCAAGAGAGAAAGTGGGGTTTGTTGAAAGTTTGAAACTTGAATGCGTTTGATTAAGCAATTAAAGAAGGGGGTGTGCTGCAGTCTGCAGAGAGTGACGGAGAAGGAAATAAATGTTTGGAAAGAAAAGCTCTTTTTTGGGAGACGACGACTTTGTTTGAGTGAGGACCGAGGAGAAGATTGGACGGCCAGATTGAGTGACACGTGGCGCTTCTAATAAGACAAAATTGATTATTGCTGATTGTAATAAGTGTTCTAGACTTGCAGATTTGCAAGTAGCTGTAGCTATATATGTATGGACAGAGGCTCATAGGGGCATAGGGCACATTCTGATATGTAAACCGGATGTATTATATCTTTTACCACGTCAAACGTACTTAAGAATCTTCAAGTACATAGGCGAAAGAATTTTCAATGTGATCATCGTATTTCAAATCATTTGATGTTATTAATTTATTTATAAGGCGAATATCAGTTTAATATTTTCAAATTTTATGATTTTTAATATTTAATACATGAAGTTTTTTCGTCTCAGAATCATACCTAAAGTGTTAATTTTGGGACAGTCTCATAAACCCATAACCCTATCGTCTTTCCCCACCTCGACCCCCTCCCTTCTCTCTCCTTTCTCTTCTTTGCACCTACCCAACCTTTGCACATCCATCCTTCCCCATCCCTCTTCGACTCCACCCACTCAACCTTCATTCTCTTTGATAGCCCTGTTTCTCTGTACGCAACCACCATCTTCCCCCACCCTCATATTCCCCCCATGTTCATCATTCTCTCTCATTCTCCCTGCATATTTGAAGGCAAATCTCAAAAAATCAACCACAACCTCTGCACATCCATCCTAACCCTTACCCTCATCTTCTTCCTTCTTATGCTGCACCCCAACCCAAAACCCAGACCGAAAGCCCCACATTCATTCTCTTTATCCTGCACCCTAGCAACAACACCACCACCACCATCATTGGCTCGGAAGAGGTGCAGTCGATCCTCGTGCAGTTGCAATGCGTGGTCAACAAATACTCGTCTTCTACCTCCCCCCAAATACCCATCTTTTGCACCTGCAACACCCTCGTGCAGTCACTTAACGACCGGTCGTTTGACGAATCGAAGATGATAGATCCGAAACCAGAGATGCCAATACGGGTAATGTCTCAGAGCTAGAAGAACTGGGTGAACCAGCCGATGAGTAGATTGGGACGACTGTGAAGTCTAGTCATCCAACGAGTTTGTCGAGAAAAGTAGGTGAGGAACCGGTGACGTGGAGAGCTCGAAGTGAGTGAGAGTGTGGTGGGTGTTGTTGGGCCATGGACTAAGGAATAAAGAACTGAGAGGCAGCTGGTGGTGGTGATGTTGCTAGGGTGCAGGATAAGGAGGATGAGGGTGAGGTTTCGGTCTGGGTCTGGGTTTGGGTTGGGGTGCAAGATAAGGAGAAAGAAAATTAAGGTGGGGTTAGGAGAGGAATGGTGGAAGAGGTGGTGGTTGTGGGGAAGGGGGGATAAAAATTGGGGAGAGAAAAGGGGGAGCTGGAGAAGGTGTTGCAGAGGGAAGAAGGAAATGAGGTGGAAGACGGGTGAGTGGGCACGGGTGGGGATTTGGTTTTTTTTCCTTTAAATAATAATTATTATTTTTTTTAAATTCCACGTGGACCCCCTTAATGACACGTGGCGCCTAGTCATTGTCCACATGAACGCCACGTCATCAGTTAACGGGAGACTTAACATCCAGATTAACAGATGTATGAGACTGTCCCAAAATTAACACTTTAGGTATAACTTTGGGACAAAAAAAATTTCATATACTAAATGTTGAAAACCACAAAACTTGAGGGTAGTAAACTGATATTTACCCTTATTTATATGTATCGATTAATTAGTAGGACCACCTTCACATTAGGCGTGTTTGCTTGTTGGAAGTTGTATTCGAATCGGGCCAAATTATATCCAAGTACAATAAGGTATTGTTTCTTAACGAGAGCATGACCATCTAGTTGTTCAGGTTGTCTTACATAAAGTTCAATTCAAATAATTTAGTTTTTAGTCTTTAATTTTGTATACAAAATAATAGTAAAACACATATACTTTTTTCGTATCTCTAGCAT